TGTGAGTGCGAAAGGCTGGGTGGCCCTACACACCTCCCACGAGTCAGAGTGGATGGGAAACCCAGCTGCACCACACGGTGTGGCTGGCAGCAGAGAGCGAACGGAAGGCTTGCTCGCCATTTCCCAGACGTGACGGATAATATCGACAAGAGCACCACGGTCACACGTCCCTCTTCAAGAATCCGACCCACAGGGCAGAGGCAAATAATTCCATGAAAGAATTGGACGTGTAGGGACAAATTGTTCAATGGGTCTCCACCAAGTTCAGACGTGATCGTGCATGGGTACGGAGAAATGGTCCAGGTGGTTTATCTGGCTGATCTTGGAAGGCTGCTTGGAGGAGGCCGGATGCGAGATGGGTAGGGATGGGTAAGACATTGACGCTTGCTTTTCAAGGACGAAGGTGGTCTGGGTGGAGCTTTGGAGAAATACAGATTCCTGGGTTTGACATCAGCCTCGGGGGTGGGGGTGGGGATGGGGGTGGGTGGGTGGGTGGGGTGAGGACCCGCGTGACCAGCTGGGATGTAAAACCAGCATCAGGGCCCATCAGGAGCAAGGCTCAGGTCCGTTCAGAGACTATGAGTAGAGTCTTGAAGGGGCATCTCAGGGCTGTGCCTGGATCAGTCAGCTATTGTTCACCTCTTCAGAAGACCAAACAAGAGGAATTCAGTGAGGCATGGTTTACTCTGAAGACGCAAGTCTTGGATGTGAAGGTTGTTAAAGACTCGGAGATTTTCATTTAAAAATCAAGCCGTTGTCTGTGGTTGACATCTTGCACACCCCAATAAACTTACCTGGGGGCCAGAGAACCAAACAGCCACTATATTAAACATAGAGGTCAGGCCGTGGTAGCACACACCTTTAATCCTAGCATTCTGGAGGCAGATCCATCCAGATCTCTTTGAGTTCAAGGCCACATTGGAAACGGCCAGGCAGATGCCTTTAATCCCAGGAAGTGAGGGCAGGAAGCAGAAAGGTGTATAAGGCGTGAGGACCAGGAACTAGAGGCTTTTTAAGCTTCGAGGCTTTTAGCAGCAGTTCAGCTGAGATCCATTTGGATAAGGACTCAGAGGCTTCCAGTTTGAGGAAACAGGATCGGCCTAGAAGTTGGCAAGGTGAGGTTAGCTGTGGCTTGTTCTGCTTCTCTGATCATTCAGAATTTACCCCAATACCTGGCCCCTTGTATTTAATTAATAAGACCTTTCAAGATTCATCTACAATTGTCAGCATGGTGGTATACGCTCATAATCTCAACCCTTGGGAGGCTGAGGCAGGAAGATCAGAAATCTGAGGTAAGCCTGGGTGGGCTGTGTAACCCGACCCTATCTCAAAATTCAAAAGGCAAACCTAAAGCAAACCAAAATGAAAAAGAAAACATGCCAACCTCCCCACCCCCAAAAGAACAACAACAATCAAGAAGGATTCATAATTTTGTTGGCTAAGCCAGTGGTAGACAAATGTTTCCTGTAAAGAGCCGAAAAGGAAATACTTTCAATTGTACAGACCATATGGTCTCTGTCACCGCTTTAATCCATTCCATTGTGGAACAAACACGATGTTAGACGGCGTATAAGTGAATAAGCATATCTATGTCCCAATAAAACTTTATTGATGATGAAATTGAATTTTATGTCATGTGCACCTGTTACAAGATGCTACCTTTGAAACATTTTGTTTTCAACCATTTCAAGATGGTAAATTCCTGGGCTTGGGATGTAGTGGATTATCTAATACATACAAGGCCTTGGACTTGACCCCCCCCCCCCAGCATCACAAAAATAAATAAAACAAATTCTTATTATTTCCAGTAGCCAAGAGATGGAGCTACATAGACTAGAAAAGTGTTCAGCTTTCATCTTAAGGACGTTATGCTAAGTGAAATAAGCCAGCCGAGGAGAGACGAATATTGTATGACTCCACTTACGTGAAGCATCTCATCAAATTCATAGGAGCGAGAAGTAGAATCAGGCTTTTCAAAGGCTTGGGGCCGGCTAAGGGTGGGGTCGAGGTTGTGCTTAATGGTTATAGCATTTTAGTTTTACAAGGTGAATGTGTTCTGGGGAATCAGCTTCCTAACAAAGCAAACACACTTAACATGACTGAACTAGACATTTAAAACAGGTACATTTTATTGCCTTATTTTTCAAAGCTACAATTAAAAAGAAAAAGAAGTGAATTCTTCCACTTAAGCCTGGCCGATCTTGCTATTTTTCCCCCCAAAACTATAATTACAAAGGAAAAAGAGAATCGCCTTCACTGTAGCTACACAGGAACAGGCCGTAGACTCCTGAGACAATCCAAATCCAAATCCATGCTTCTCAGCGTCCCCAGCAAATCCTCTAACCACATCGAGTGGGAAAGGCAGCTCCCACGAGGCCACCCACAGGTCTATGAAACTTCTTTAACTCCATAATGCATGCTGCTTTGATGTAAATGTGGCTTTCACTGTAAAAAAAAAAAATCATTAGGAAATGGACGTTTGTTCGGGCTCAGTGAGGCTGGATAGTTCAGTCCCAGAAGCACAGTTCAAAAGGGCAGCAGAGCACTGGGTCTTCCAGTGGACACTGACTGCAGAGTGAATCATGTTCCCTTTACCCCATTTCGCTGTCCATTCCCGACCACTAAACACCGCCGCACCCCCAATACGGATGCCTCTCCAGAGCAATGATGGCCGACTACTTTGCGGTTTCTCCCCAGAACCACCAATCCCCAAGTGTCTAATATCACTCACTCTGTTGATTTTCTTCTCCCCCTCTGATTATGCTTTTTAAAAAAATCTACCTGTAATTCTTTCCCCCTTCATCTATCTATCTATCTATCTATCTATCTATCTATCTATCTATCTATCATCTATCTATTTAGTAATGAGGATTGAACTCACAGGGTTGTGTATGCTAGGCAAATACTTTTCCCCCAAGCGAGACCTGTGCTGATTTCTAGAGCATTCTCTCTGAGCTGCTGTACAGGTGTTGTGTTCCCAACCCCCAGCCATCTTCCTCAAGAGAGTGAGGCACCACTAACAAATGACCTGCCTGGACACTTCGACACATCCCCCCCTCCCCCCCGATACCCACACTTCACTTGATGGCCCTGAAGAAGACCTGTGGGTTTTGACCAATGTGAGATTACACATGTCTACCACGGTAGCATCACACAAGGCAGTTCATGGCTGGCCCTAAAAGTCTTCTGCCTCCTTGTCCCCAACTCCCGGTGACTACAACATTCTCACTGCCCCCCATAGGTCTGCCTTTTCTGGAAGAGCTGGAATCATACATTTAGCCTCTTCAGACTGGCTTCTCCAGAGACGCACACTTTCTAAAATAAAAAGCAACATGAGTTGGATGGTACATTTACATTCTACATTCAGTTCACACGGACAGCTGGATCGTATAGGGACACACACAGTCTGACTTCTTCTGCTGAGTGACAGGAGGAGCCAGCTAGGGATTTTAAATGATAATCTCCAAAGCGGGAAATGAGCCGTGGAAAATCAGGGTTTGATAAACAGCCCCCTTTCCCACAGCCCCCTTGATCTGTTTCACCTGTTACCTGTTTCTTCTCAGAGCGCTGGGGAGCCTGGTCCCAACCAACAGGTTATACACATCAGTTATTAAGCAAAAATGTTGGCCCTGTTTAACAGGGTGTCTGGATAAGCACTAGCAAGTTGCGGGGTTGTGGGGTGGTATTTATTTCCATGAATCCAATCCCCCAGACCTTTAATAAGTAAAAAGATACTCATAAACAAGTAACTCAGAGACGTCACAAATACTAGGAAAAAAAGAAAGCCAGGAAACGTCAGAATGTGGTCCTCCTGACCTGGAAACTGGTGTTGGTCTGCTTTGAGTATGCTGTGGCTAGTTTTCAAAGCACCCCCAACCCCAACCCACCGGGATTCTGTTGTCCTGCTCTGACAATCACACCAGACACAGGGGGGCAGGGGACAGGCGGGGTAAGGCCGGGCAGTTAGGGTTTTAACAAGTCACTGTTCCGACCCTAATACCCCCCCCCTCCCCCGGTGCTGAATGTTCAGGTTTGAAAACCACTGATCTGAAGCCCTAAAGAGTGAGGGCCTGGGGCTGGAAGGTTCTGGAAGGCTGTGAGTTTGAAGGAGGAGGCTGGGGTGGGGGAACTGTGTTGAAGGGTTTGTTAATTAGAGACCCATTCCCCCCCCGCCCCCGCCCCCCGCCCCCCGCAGCCTCAGAGCAATGTCCAACTCTCCAATCAGATCCTGGCCGGGGCTCTCAGGGGCGGGGAGTCCAGGCTTGAGACCACAGGGTGCCCCTTCCGGAGTCTCAAGCCACCTGGAGCTCCCAAGTAGGCACGAGAAGGTGGTGTCTGTTAAGTCGCTTTACAGTCTTCTTTCTTCTGTTTCGGATTGTGAGCCTCGCCTTGAAGGGCTGAGCCATCTCTCCAGCCCTACCGGTCTCCTTAAGAAACCTGGCTTCTAGTTTGTAGCTCTTAAAAAAAAGTTTCCCCCCAAAGAGGACCCTAATGCTAAAAGTTGGCTTAAAATGATGACTATTATTATTAATTATATTGTTACTGTTAAGTCCCTGATAGTAACTCTATCCGACTGCAACTCTAGGAAGCGCCCATCATCTCCTTTTGTGTACACCCTACTACATCTTTTACCCTAACCTCGCCTGGTCTGCAATAAAAGCAGCCCAGTGCCCAGAGCATCCAAGCCCCGAACCCCACTCGCGATTCCTCCCATGCCTACGGACAGAGATCATCGCGCCCAGCTTCCTTTCAGGCCAGCTTTGCAGGGCACGACCCCAGCCAGGGTGATGCCCAGCTCAGGGAGCCGCCGGGTGCACGGGAGCGGACGGAGCCCGCCGTGTGGAGGGGCGGCGGCCTTGCCGGCGGGTC